GCGTGCGCTCACCGATGAGTAGAGGTGACCCTCTCCGTTCATGGCGATGTAGAGGCCAGTCTTGACTGATTGGATGGCCACGACTCTCAGACCCACAGGAATTAAGTTAAACAGAGCTGAGGACAAAAACAGACAAACTTAGTGTGTGTGCGTGTCCTGTGCCTGTGTGCGTGCTCCTCTTCTAGAAATAAAGTGCTCTGAGAACTGAAACGCCAGTTGTCGGTCTGTTGCTCAGTTGCTTTGTTAGTTGGTGAGGTGAAGAAGTGGCTCGGCCACCAGGGGCTGCTTGCAGGGCTTTTAAACTCAGAGCTTTGCAGAACACAGACGGAAAATCAGACCACTGCTTTAAATATAAATTCTTGACATACTAATTTGCCTCCGTAACTCTATACAATTAGGGTATTTTATGTAATAACGTGTGACGAATTTATTTTCTTGCGGATCAGAAGGGTTGAGACTATAATATACAGTATTTCAGTTACATAACACTAATTCTTATCAGTGTTTCATTATGTTTTATATTAGTCGAGTCATATAGAAGCCTTTCTTACTGTAAATTAATGTACATTTAATTTACAGTTCACTTCATAGTGGCATTATATATGTGCTTATAAACCAAATGTATAATTAATATAATTATAAACTCCAATAACAGAAATAGACTATTGACACCAGCCCACATGTAAAACTCCACTACAGAGGGTCTTTCTAGAACCCTCTATAACAGCTTAGAGTAAAATGAATATTCTGTTCACATTATCAGTGCGATGTGCATCATGGGAAACATCCTCCATTGCACCTGACAACACAATACCACTTTCTTGTCCATCTCCATCCTCTTCACCACCTGTCATCTCAGTAATGGTCCACTTTCCTTTAGCAAGACATGTTTTTGGCATCTAACTTCCTGCCAAACCATTCCTTCTTTATTCTCTCTCTTATTCTATTATTCACTGTACAGCTCTGGGATGACGGCTGTAGTAGTAAATGGCATTCATCAAGTTAAAAATGTTCCACTTAAGAGGGTTTGCTGAATCTGACTTTGAATACTTGCACAAGTTAATTTAATGGATAGAAAATTTTTCTGCATGAGCCCCGTTGTATATTATGTATATTTTGACACTGTTCATTTTTCCATAAGACTTTAATATCAGTGTATTCTTGTTTATGCTTCAAAGGCACACTCATGCTCTCAGTATTATTTGAAGAACAGCAGTCAGTGACGGTAAAGGAACAGGCAGCTGATCACACCCTTACAGCCTTGGGCAGGCATTTCAAAAGACAATGCTTGTGTCACTTGTGTTTTTGTTCACTTCCTGCAAGCCCCTTACTGTCTTGTTTCTTATCTGGATTTGTTCCAGTTATGAGATATTAACTGTTTTTCTTTTAGCAATTGATTGAGAGATCGAACAAGGGAAATCATGTAATGAAAGTTGTTTACAGCAAGCTCTCACAGCGTTATGTAATAATGTTCTTATCTCTTTAAAAGTGTTTTGTATGTTCAGAGAACAATAAAAGTTTAAAGCCCGATAGCAGCATCGGGATACAACTTGTATAATGAGACTGTCAGCTTTTCAGTTTTTGAAGTAGAAACCACCATGGTTGTTTTGCATGACATTTGGATTTGCAGGTGTGTGAACATGCCTTTGGAGGCAGAAATTCATCAGAAATGCTTCAAAACACCCATCATATTAGTTAGATTAGTGAGAAAAATTAGTGAGAAAAGTCAGACTTGACATGGAATTAACAGAACAAATGAGCATATACTCTAATTACACTGGAACTGTCATTTCAGGTCAAATGAAGAAAACCTCTCAGCTTTCAAAACTCACATTACACAAAGATGGAGGAGCTGCTGCAAGAGAGCAATTGACATTTTGAAAAATGACAATAATGAAGATTAAAAATGATTATTATTGTTAATATTTCCATCGTGATGTAGTCCATCTAGCTCCTCTGTGATGTGGAAATGGGACATATTTTATGTCAATTATTGGCCATCATTAGCTGTGACCTTTCAAGGTTGTTGAAATTCGTCTCCCTCTGAGGTCAGATAAAACGACACCTCTGTAACCCGTATGCCACTTACCATTACTGAGTTATCGATTAGCCCGCTGACAGCACATGCAGTCGCGTTATGACAGAAACAATGTCAGATTAAATTCAAGGTGAGTCCTGCCTCTCTCTGTACATCCAAGATTCAGACATAAGGCTTCAATGTAAAGCTTTTCCAAATAAATCATCATTTGTCAAGATAAATGTGGTACATGTAGCGGCAGCATACAGCAAGGTCACATTAAATGTCAGGATCAACCTGTGGAGTATACTCTCTTTCTTTAAGGTATTTCCAGGGGTTGCTGTCTCATCTTCCTCCCTCTCTCCCCTTATTTCTTCTTGGTAAAAATCACTTCCAGTTTGTGTTGATCTTCAGTTGTTCTTTGTTTAAATTCTCCAAAATGAATGTAATCCCTTAACCCCGTCCAAGTACGTCCACTAACAGTGCTGGTTTGTGCCCTTGACAGACTCAGATTATTATCCTAAGTGTCTGACAACATGATGGAAAGGGTCCCAACAGAGACTTTTTTCACACAGCTCTTTCCGACGGGGAAATAAAGCCGCTATATCACTCTCTTCAATGCCACCAGACTCCTTTGACAAAAACAGTAATTTTACCTCGCAGAACACAGGACTTGCTGGTCTGCCGCTGCCTCGATCGGCTACTCTGTTTGTGTTATTGTGTATTTGTATACTGTGTATAGCATGAACCAAAGCATTTGGAGCCTAAGCTAATTTGCTATGCGTATCCCTATTTGGCCTTTAAAATACACAAAACTCAGCAATAAAATACAGAATATTGTTTGTCCCATTTTAGGGATTTTGTCATCAATTATTGATGGTGTAATTGTCTCAGGAGTTTGTGACTTCGTTCGTTTTTAACTCGGCTGTCGCAGCCAGTGGCTTGAGTATAAAGATGTTCATTGTTTTATGCTGTGAGTTTGATGTCTGGCAAAGGCCGTGATGTTGCATGTTCAGTAAACTCGGCGCTGACAAAGTCTGAGAATCCGCTGCTTTCATGTGCCTGGGTTTTGAAATATCTACCTCTGAAACTTATGCCTCCACCCCTACACGATGGAGATGAACGGAATTTTGTTTGTGCGGCTCAGAACATCACTGGGTAAGAGACCTTACTTTTATATTTTGAACGTTTCTTCAGTTTAACACTTTTGTCCAATCATGCCTGCATTAGCTTACACAACAATGTGTCAAAGATATGGTAGTCTAAACACACTCTTAATTAATCCTTTAAAGCTGAATTGTGTAACTTCTTGCCCTCTCCAGTAAGGAGAGAAAGGTGAAATTGAATTAAAGCAAAGACGGCTGTCGTAATTGGTTGAATCAAAGACTACTGTTTGAAAAGTGTGTGCTGAAACTGATTTATTTTAATGAATTAAAACACAATGTGAGAAGCATCCCTTTCAGAGTGTGTATTATATTTCAAACAGACTTTATTGACACTGTCACCCGGGCCAGGAACAGTATAATGAGCTGATCAACAACAGAGGATTCTCCAAATAAAGTCCATGGTTTTCATTTTAATGCCAAAGGAAATATACCCATAGATATTATTGTGTAATTGCTATATTATGAAATCATAACTTAACAATAACCTGTAATGAAGGCCGTGACAGTGGACGTTATATTTGGAAGCAACAGCCCTGCTGGTTTTCTTTCTAATCAAGGGCTGATTACACCTGGGATATCATTGCCCTCATTAATCAAGGTTGCATAGAAATGGTTGTTAAATCTCTCTAACAACCAACATTTATAGTGTTCAGAGTTGAGCAGAATAAAATGTATCAAATGTACACCTGCAAGTAATCATCCCTGGTAAATATCACACTTTCTAAACTACCATCATGCTCATGCACAGCCTTCAGTAACATAAAGATATGCACACAGCTGATTAGAGATGGTAACAACGCTCCCTTTAAATGCTGCAGGAAATGTCACTGATGTCTCCCCCTCCGCCGAACGCAGCTCAGCCAGAAAAAAAAAACTAACAAACAAATGGAAAAATGGAGCTTGGCAACAAGTGTGAGTGGCAGTAAATTCTGTTTGATCTACACGCCGAGCTGTGGCAGAAATTTCAAAAATGGTGGCGTGAAGACATTTGCCAAAGATTTATGTGAAGACATTTGCCAACAAAAATAAATAAATGGTAGTAAACAAATGGGACACTGCTGCAACACGCGGGTGGCAGAGAGCAACCGGCTCCGCCAATGTGGAAAGGACACTTTGAACCAATGAGTAGCCTGCTGTAGTGATTACTGATTAGCATTTGATTTTCTCTCAGCCGAGCACATCAGAATATAGCAAAAGCGACATTAATCAATAAGCCATCCATCTGCAGCTCCTCCCTGAGGGCAGTGTTGGGTGCAGAGGTCCAATAAACTCGGCCTTAAAAAAAACAAAATCCTCTGAACAGCCACTTGTCGCTTTCAGTCGAACAGCTCTCTGGAAACACAGTGACTGCACAACGTGAAGCCACTCTGGAATCAGTTACCGTCTCATTGCCGTCTTTATGATTGCATACACTGTGAATTTCAATCAACACCAACATTTACAACGATTGTCAGTCATTTAGATCAATATGCTGGAATGGTAGATGGTGCACCCGGACAATATGTTCATGATTTACTAAATAGAGGAGCTTGAACCTTTTGAACAACTTTATATCAACCTACTTTAATCTTTTTAACTATTTTCATAATGACTAGGAGTCATTAGATCTTTCCCGAAGGCCTCTCTTTTTCACAGTGAGAAAAAAACATCTGTTGACATTCATCAAAATCAGATGACAAAATAACTATTCGGCCTTGAGAGAGGCTGCCGTGCCTTTGGTGAAATCCTGCTTTGGGGCTGTAACTCTCCTCATTGTTGTTTTGAGCACCATCTTTTTCTCTTGTCATCATTCCTTTTCAGACACTTGTTGCACTGCCTTACAGCCGTGCATTGTCAATCACAAAGCTACTCTTCCTCGAAATGATTTCACACACAGTAAACACTTTTAGTTAAGCTGTGTTGATGAATAAAGGCCCTGGTGACTAGTTGTTAGTTTCTTCAATTTTTTCTCCCCCACTGAAACTTTATTTGGCTGGGGGGGGGGGTTCTTTACCCAAGTCAAGAGTCAAAAGACAGAAGGCATTGAATGTTATACAGATTGTAATACCCCTTGAGGCAAATTGCAATTGACTAGTTACTGTATTATACAAAGTCACTCTACGGTTCAACAACGGTGGTCAATATGCTGATTAAATCAACACCAGCGGCAGAACTGAGTGCATAAACCAAATATGCAGTCAGCAAGAAACCCTGTGGCTCTGAAATGACATTTATATATGACTAAGATGTTTTGCAGGAATTGTGTAACTTTGACACCAGAGATTAGGAGTCCCATCTGTGGTTAGGTGTAGGCAACAAAAGCACTTACAGTTTGGAGTTAGGTTACAGTTGGTGGTATTACATTTCTATCACACCATATTTGCACATTAGTAGTATATATAGTATCAAGACATCATTTTTAGGAGACAGGGTTGCAGTAGGACTGTGAAAGAGACCTCACACTGCTGTGACAGGGGTTTTCCACTCAGATTAACCAGCTTTATATACACATTTACAAAGTGTATCTTGCTCGTTTATCAACTCTCAGCATATTTACTGTCAAATGTGTACATTTACCCATATTTACTGTAATATAAAGGGGAATCTATCAGTGTGAGTGTGTGTCTGCTTACAGGAGTTGGTGCTGTCGTCTTTGGTCCCGTCCAGACTTCCATCCTGGCCCATCTGGAGATAGAAGCCCTGCCTGCAGAACAACCTGGTCACTATGCCCTTCAGCTGTGGTTCTACACAACACAGACACACACAAGGACACAGGAGAAGAACAGTTGAAAAGAACCGATCTTCTATCAGATCAAATATAAACTATACAGCCCTTAAATATGAAAATAAAAATATTTTGTCAGCTTCAACGATGATTTATAAATGATTTATCTTCAAATGTATCCCCAGAAATCAATTTCTGCACAAATCCTGGACGGCACATTTAAGATACAATACAGTTTGGCATTAAAGAACAATGTGGCCACATGCTGCCTCCTGAGTGATTTCCTGTGGAGGGACTAGTCAGGCACATCCAATCCATTACAGGATTCTTAGCCTAATCCTTCCTTCACGGTCATTGTTCCACTCGAATAACATCGATAAATTATTTCTGAACCTTTGATGGTCTTGAGCTTCATAATGCCTTCGTAGCTACAGTATTGTGTTTACTATTTATCGATTGAGCAATATATTGGTTTGTTGGAATGACTTTTGTGTGGATAATTAAGTGGATCCATAATTTCTCCCCACCTAAACCAGTTCATCTATAATGTTTTAAGACAGATACTGTCTTTACTATATTAAAGATCCCCTGCAGACATGGATTAAACCATATAAGAATAGTCTGCTAGAATAATAATGTGTGTGTGTCATTTCCACATTAAAATCCTAAAGAAGACAACTCTTTCTACCTCGTTAAAAATTCCAGTCAGAGTGTGAATGTGCACTGGTGGCTTCACTTCACTTCTATAAGTTGCATACTGGACCAGGACTGACTTCCAAACTATTTGTGATGTCACAAATCCTGCTCGTGGGCCCCGCCCCTTCAAATCAGATTTTTAATGAGCGCAGAGAAACTTCCCACTCTCAGCAGATGAATGTGAAAACATCCTTCTAGTGTCAAACNNTCAAACAGCACACTGTAGGAACTAGAAGACCAAGATTTTTGAGATTAACAATTTCTTTGATAAACGCACAATGGTTGAAATGCAGATTTTAATGCTGCAATTAAACGGCAGTCATTTCTGCCTCTCTGTTCGGTTCTTGCATCTCACCATCAAATAAAAAACGACATAAAAGAGAATGACTAAAACTACAGCTGGTCAGCATGAGAAGAGAGTAAGCGACGAAGGGGATGTGAAGGAGCTGAGGAACAAAGAGTGACTGAGTCACTAGATAAAGATGGAGACACCTACATTAGGTGATGACATATTATTGCTTCTTCGGCAGGTACAGACAGGCTCTTTTCCATCATCACAACCTGTAGGAGGATAGCACGCTTTTTCCACACAAACACAGTCACGTCGGTGCGGTGGCGCTGATTATTTAATCCTCACCAACACTTACATGTGACCACACCCATTCTCAACACACATCAGTGACTTCAGCGTCGCAGCAAAAGCAGCGCGGGGGGGGGGGAGATCCCCTTTGAAAATCCGTGTGTGAACGTGTAAAGGTAAACCCTAATGCACAGGGACAGAAGAAAGCCCAAACTGACCCAGTTTATGAAGAGAGTGTGTGTGAGAGAGAAAGAAGCAGGGGTGTTTTCCATCTTTGTGAAGGATCCATCTTGTGCAGCAGGGGGAGAAGGAGGGAGCTGTGAAGCTTGCAACCAGCACTCGAACTGACAAAACTCCCAACACACTGCTTAGCGTGTTGTGTGGTGCAGACGATAAGAAGTCTCAGTTCTCCCACTGCTAGAGGAAACGTACGCACGTCACATGTAGGTGCAGGTTTCATCACGTAACTCTAGTACAGTGCAGCACACTCTACATTCATTTTTATGCATTAAGTGAAAATGATTCCGACTGACAACTGTGATCTTTCTTGCTGCTTTATGATCCAAACAGTTTACCTGGCCGGCGTCCGTCTGTCAGAGCACAACAGACACACACACTGCAGACAGACTGAAACCAGTCACATTTCAATCTCTCTGCCCTTGTTTGTGTGACGCACGAGCAGAGGAAGCTGCTGGAAATGTAATTTACTGTCTCTTATCTTTTGGTAGAATGTGTCATGTCCTTTATAATTCGTCTCTGTTTATGTGGTAATATAAAATATCATGTAAAGTGTATTTTTGTATCTTACATAAATGTAACTGGATTAGACCTGGAGGCACCTTCCAGCCTGGCTTTGCATTTATACATCAGTCTTTCTGTTGGCTTAAAACCCTGTCTGATATGGATATATTACAGCAGGTGCGTTTCAGTGGCACCGTGTAATATCAGAACACATTTTCTGGCTGGCGTTGTGACTCAGCCGATGGGAATTTTCAAGGCCACATGATTTATTTTTAACAAAGGGGAAAAAAGAAAAACATTTACATTTCTCAAAGATATTAGTCGGTACCAAAAAATCTGGTTATTGCATTCTAACAAGTATCATAACAACTGAAACTGAGTCACTGTTTATATAAATATATACATACACAATATCAGATTTTGGTGTTTTATCAGACTTTTTCCTTCCTGGCCACCATACACTCTCTGTGACAAAGCAAACAGTTCAAAATGCCATCTTGTACTGTGACTTCTGTTCTGAGTAATTACACTTGAGGACTAATTTTAAATCCTACCTCTAGTTCTGCACTTTGACGTCTTACACAGTGGATCATTCTGTTCAGTAAGAAGCAACATGTATTATTTATATTCGGAATTTATCTGTAGTATGACTATAAACCAAATACCAGTATCATGGATCTTATCTTGTATCAACCTCGTTTTTATAAGTGTATAATCCCCTGAA